AGCCTGATTCACTTAAGCCAGCGTCATTCCCTTCAACATTCAAGTTTGCTGTCTGATCCAAACTACATCTTTCAAGATAGGTTCGTTCTTAGGGCATCTCTAATTCACTCAGATGTCTTTTGTCTTTCAATCATGTACCTTAAGTGATTTTTTTTTTTTTTTAAGAGCCTGTCATGAAAAATTCTTCCTCAGTTCTGTGTGACAGAGGATCCTTCCTCTCCCTCCATCCAGGATGCTTTCCTTATTTAAGACATTCTCCTTTAGAGGGTGTTCTGTCTTATAATGTGCCTAAACTTACATGGGCCACTTGATGCAGTTATTTGCCATGATACAAATCTGCCACTTGTAAAATTTGAACCCATTGAACTTTTTCAGCAATGCAGTCGTTTGGCTACTTTAATCTCTGACTGTATTATAGCTGTGATTCATTCATCTCTTGATAGCTCTCCAGGATGCACTATTTGTATCTTTTTTCTGGTATTAATTCTAGACTTTTCCACAGCAAACACCTGAACTTAGCTGTTACCTGTAGTTTTGAGTATTATTTCCCAACTGTTGAAGTTCTGCAACCTTAGCTGTTGCTCAGTTTTTGAAGAATCATGCTGATTGTCTTTTCGCTGGAAAAAAAACTCTAATCTACTCTCACAGCTCCTATTTTTCATGAACTTCCAAATACAAAGATTTCATCCACTTGAAAACTGGGTATTTAAATATTAACATTTAAATTGGGAAGCATCTGCTTGCCTTTTTTTTTAAAGGAAAGAATCAAGCAAATTAAAAAAAAAAAAAGCTGAATCCAAGGCTTTTTTCTTTTCAGAATTCTGAGTAGATTAGTGAATTCCACCTTGAAACTATGAAGGAAAAATGAGCTGTACCTTTCGCATAGGAATAAAACAGGAGGTGTGGAAGGCAGTGAAGTGATGTGAGGGGTGTATATACGGCTATTTTCTTCAGCAATGACCAGAATTTCCTCCCTAATATCTGTGATTTGCTATCCCCTCAGTTATGCTAATACAAGTTTTTGTAGGGCGCATTGCAGACCATATTCCTCAAATGATCCAGACAGAGTCTGAAGAAGCTTTTTCAATGTATTTCTTTTGTGTGAGTTACTTGTGCTCAGCTCAGAAAAAATGATTAACTTGGAGACAAATCAGTTCCCTGACCTAACTTGCTCAGCAGATTTGTGAGTGCTCAAATAAGAACAGAGAAGGGGCAGGAACATGACTGGGTTGGGGGGAGGCAGAAATTCCCGTTTGGGCAATGTCCCACATTTATTTTGACTTAAACCAATTATTAAACTCTGTGCTTGCCAAAAAATAAATAATAATTGATTAGTCTGTAGCTGGATCATCTCTCTGAACTGGCTGCACGCTGTTGCATAAGTGCTAGTGTTGGTGGAAGGTGTAGGATGAAGGGTGGACTGCAGCAACATTTCTTTTTTTGTAACTGTCTTGGAACTACGCCTATTGTTTTACCTCAAAAAAAAGTCTATATGTAACATTAATATCCCGGCTTCTCACCTTCTGTGATTTCTCATCCAAGTACTGATATGACCTTAGGCTGATGAGCAGAGCTATTTTAAAAAGAAGAGGGGGGAAAAAAAAAAAAAGGAAAAAATCTTGGTTGGCAGCCAGCTTGATTTTTACAAGGGTTATTTTACACTCCTGCAGAACAATATGTAATTCAGACTGATTCCTTCAGGCACTTGCTCAAAAGAAATCTTTGTAGCGGTATTTTGCTATAATTGCGTTAGTGTGGAAACTTGGTCTCTCTAGCAACATTAAGCAGTAAGGTGATAGCGTAATACAAGTTTAGATAGGTCTATATTAGGAGTTGCCGCATGTTGTAGCCCAGTATAGAGGACAATGCTGCAGCTTCTTATGGCCAGGTCCACAAGGATGTGTTCCCCAGAGGCACACATGCATGTGTATGCACTATATGTATATATACGGCCAACCATACAGAAAATGCAGCACTCCCACAAACACAAGTTGCATCAGTGGCGTCATCCTTTCCCTTCACTGGCTGACTGGGATGAAAGCCCGTTTGTGGAAAATACATATGTATACAATATGGATCCCTCCAGCAAGTGGCCTTAGACTCTTACTCTGCTCAGTAGCTGGTCCCTGGTTCCCCTGGTCTCACAGTTGCCTCGCAGACCTGCACTGGGGCAGCTGGTCCAGATTTATAACCTTACCAGTGGCCAGACCCCAGGTGTCCTGGTCCCTCTAGTAGCCAAATCTCAGACCTTCTGGTCTCTCCAGTATCTGGCCCAGACTCATGGTTGCTCCGATTCTTGGCTCCCAAGCCTATTTGCTGGCTAGTCCAGCCTGGTGTTTGCCAGAGATCCCACATGGATGTTGGTACCTAGGCAGGACACAGGGGCTCCAGCCTCTGCTTGCTGGCACCCCAAGCACCCGGGGCCCTGTGACCTGTGGTGCGACTCCAGTTGCTAGCACGTACGCTTCCATGCAGAGTCGTGCACGCAGAGTAAAGATTCCCCTCACCCAGGAAAATAATTACAAATGTAGTTTAACAAGAAGATAGGCCAAACTGCAGTGATCAGGCGCAGGGCATGGCTGGACAACCGTACTGAGCAGCCACCTGTTTACATGCACCTGGCCCCTTTTATTCCTTTTTTTCCCCCCAATCTTTTCCTATCCTTGTTCTATCCCAAACTGCTTTCATACCTCCCTTTTCTTGCCTTCGGTTCTTCCTCCAAATCTCCTGTAGTATGCCTTCTGCAATCCCAAAATACTCTTCCTGACATCTCACAATGAGTCCCAGACCCAGAAGGCACTAACCCCCTCCTTGACTCTGCGAGGTGATCTGGAGAGAGCCTCTCCGTCTTGCCCCCGGCCCACTGGGCTGCTGGTGTCTCCGACAGCCCTGCCAGCAGCCGGCCTGAGAGCTCAGTTTCTTTCATTTGGGTTATTGCGGTTCCTTTGCCTGACCCTGTCCGCTTGTGCTCTTTTGTGTCTGTGGGGAGGAGCCTTCAATCACACAAACTAACACTGGCTTCTTTCTTTTTGTCACTAAAAAGTCAGGACACCGGGCAGAGGGTACAGCATAGGCTCGCCCGTGACTCCTCAATTCTGGCACTAGAGCCTAAACTACCTGAGGCACTTTCAATTTTTTATTTTTCAGTTACTGAGGAACAACCAAGTGCGTAAATTAAAACAAACAAACAAACAAAAAGGATAACCAAGAGCTTTCTGCTCATAATATTAGTAAAGTGCAAAGTGTGGGGAAGTAGGGAAGGATTAAGTGTTTAAATGTGATGGTTTTCATACAGTGCTTCTAACCGCATAAGTATTTTGTTTCTCAAATTCTAGTATAATGGGCTTCAGACTATAAAATGCTTTATTTAATCTTGGCTTGAAAGCAATGCCAGCAAAGCAGACTGGTCGCGATTTTGTTAGGTGGTACGGGCAAGCCGAGTCTCAGAAATTGTTCCAAACGTGCTTGTTATTCTAAATGCTAATTGATTTTTAGCAGTTAAAACTCTCCCTTTGTTTAGTTTGGATTTCTTGTTTTGAATACGGTTTGCGTCGGCTTTGGGGTTTTTTTTTTCCCCCTTAGAGCAAACAAGTTTATACCTAGATGTTTATAGCCTTAAGATATTTCGAACTATAATTAGATTTCCCTTTCCTTCACCCCCCTTCTAGGCTCCCTTGTTTTCAAGGCTGAACATGTTAAGCTCGAGAAGCTGTTGCCGCTCTCTCCTATGGTGTCTGTTTCCACCCTCCGCACTCTTTCACTCCTGTACGACGATTTTCAAACTTAGTTTTTGCTTTTTCTATTCGAGAGCACCTTTCCTCGCCATCTGCAGGTTTTTCTCTTTCTCTGGCTTGTTGATTTAGTTTAGACCACGGAAATGTAAAGCCCTGCGCCCATTTTTTACGTGGAGGCTCGGCTTAAGGTGATACGTTTTCCAGCAAACATTAGAAATGCACACACAGAGTGCGCACATCTTGTTACTAAAAATCGCATATATATATATTTGAATCCCGAAGGCATGCCTGGAAGCATTATTATACAAGTAGGTTGTTTCCTGGTGGATATTATGAAAATCCCAGCAGGCGCAGGCTCGGTAAATCTGTCGCGACCGACTGTCGCCGTTCCTGGGCGCAGCCCCAGCCCGCGCTCACGCCGTCCCCGGCGCGGGGTGGGGGGTGGAG